AACCTAGGTTTATAGAAAAGAATGAATCATCTTATATATGTATTAACGAATAAAATCATAATAGAATCAAATATAAGAAAAATATATCTTTATAAGGTTGGAGTTTTGCGGGTTTCAGATCATAGAAAATGAAGTACACAACCTGCAATGCTAAGATTTAGCAATCACTCAGGCCAAAAGCACTGTTAATCAGCTTTGTTCTATTTAGATGCAAATATAGCCTACTAAAAAAAATTTCAATAGTAAATTGAAACATAATCTATAGATTTCAGAACAAATAAATATTCCAGAAATGAACAAGTCGAAAATTATATTAATTTTTTTGTACTTTTTTCATTTTAAATTGTAAAAAAATTAAGAATCTGTAAAGTTATGCTGTTTATGTACAAATACAAACTTAAAAAGGAAATTGTATAAATTTTTCTTCTGCTGGAAAAAGAAAAAATTATCGAGAAAGGTCTCCTGTACATATAAATGGGAGGAGCAACATAGATGTTGACAGGGAAACTGAACAAGCATCTGACTTACAACTGTGCTCCCCAATAATCTCTCACTAAAAAGAAGATAATGTGTTGCAGCTGACTTGCCCACAGAGTTAGCTAATGGATGGCAACATAGGATCCATGCCCAGCCCTGAGCCACCGAAGCCACCAGGTTCAGCATGCTTCACTCTACCAAAATATCGAATATGACGCAAGAGCCTGGCCAGGAATGTGTTGTGGCAGATTGTTGAGCTATCACACACAATTGCTACATGTTTGCGTGCCCTTGTTATTGCAACATTCATTCGCCTACTATCCCCCAGGAAGCCAACAGCTCCCAAAGTGTTTGACCGAACCTAATATCAAAAACACAATATCTAATTATTATCTACATTAATGAATTTGTGTCAATATTCTTCTGAAGCACTAGAAATTCTATAGTTTATGTGATGAACTGAGGCTTGCTGATTGGAAGATTACGATTCATTATAATAACAAGTATATCTTTTCAACTGAAAAAAAACAAATGCAGTAAGTTAGAATGCCATAATAAACTACACGATTATTTGAAGAAAATAATTTGGTGTGGCACTAGGCTGTTGAAAGGGAACTAGAGGTTTCGGATGCTATATTGTTGTTGCTAACTTTTTGGATTGAGGGTTCTCAATGGTTCATGAAGGATTAGCCATCTATTTTCGACAGGTTTAAGGATCAAACTATTTAACTATTTAGGGATATCAAGGGTAACAGAAAGATTTAGGGGGAAAAATCTCTTAAATCACAGGGTAAGAAGTCAGAGTGAGTACGGGGAGGGAATTTAAGATGCTTCTCAGTATGGTGAACTATAATAAGGGAGACAGACTGGAACGAAGCAAGGTGGGGGATGTTCCAGTGGTACTGTTGTGTTGTGGGATGAAATAAAGCAAATTGGAGTTGGTTGATTAGTGCAGGGGGTTTGTCCGATATTCTTTTAAGATTTAGGTTGCCTCGTTTAAGTTGAGTGCTCAGAAGGATATATGACAAAGGGAAGAGGCTGGGGAGGAAGTTGTTATGGAATGATCTGGAGAAACTCCAGGGTCGATTGATTTCTCATGGGTGGTTGAGAATGATGTTCAGATGGTTTTTACACCCATGAGAGATTGAAGTCTTTCTCTCAAAAGGATGCTAAGGAGTCTATGGAGATGTCGGATCAATCTCATTGATCTTCTTTTATTTGATGGGAGACAGACTTGGTCCAACTTGAGGGAGAGACCATTCTTTTTTCAAAATTAATAGCTTTCATGTTTATGGATACTCTCAATTCTTAGTCTAGATCAAAAACTGCAGCCTAGTCCACTTTGTTCAGTTTCCTTTGTGCTAAGAAAGCAGTAGCATCAATTAGAGGACTTGTCCATTCAGTTTTGGAAATAAATGGTTTACGGCTTCTTGGACGGTAGTATGAGTCCCAAATGGAAAAGTATGCTAGTTTTAGGATTTCTAAGAATTTACAGCAAGTAAAATCCATGTTGAAATAAGGGGCCAAAAGGAAGCTTGGGATCCTTAGGCTAGAAGGGACAAATGGATGCTTGTCTTGGAGAATTTTGATTGACTAGAAAGTGAGGGTTCTTGTTGAGAAGTGTATTGCATGGGAAGTACAAAATGCACAATTTATATCTTTCTGCTATCCAAACAAAAGAAAGAAAAAAGGATTGAGGAGTTGCACCAAAAACAAAATTAGTAAGAAAACCTGTAACAACCAATATTTAATTAATTTTTATTTTTATTTAATTATTATTTATATAATTTTAATTTATTTTAATTTAATTTAATGAAAATAATAATAATAATAATAATAAAAATTGGTAGAGAAATTAGTTAGAGATTTAATTAAAAACAATTTTAGATAAAGGGGTGAAAATTTGAGTTTTGGGGGTATTTTTGAAAGAAAAATCGAAAACTGAGGGTCAAAACGCAATTTAAAACAGTTACGCCACGTCAGCTGCCTGGTCAGCAGCCCCGACCAACCAGGACGCGCCAGGTGGCAGAGGCGCTAACGCAGGAGACCACACGGGGGGAGCCACCTGGGTGATCCGCGTGCACGCGATCAAACGGTTGAGATCCGTTCCCGCGTGCACGGATGGCTCAGATCAAAAATGCGCACGGACGGCCTAGATTGAATCGCGCACGGACGGCCCAGATTGAATCGCGATGAACGACCCAGATTCACTCCATATTTAATCGCAATCGGACGGTTCAGATTAAAAGCGATGGACGGCCCAGATCAAAAGCAGATAGATATAAATAACCTCATCCGCACCCAAACCCTAAGCTTACCCGCCAGAACCCCTCGCCGGAGAAGACAGCCCAGCCGCCGGGGAGCCGACCGCCGCCACCAGCCGCTGTACCGGAGCAATTTTTGATCGCCAAACGAGATAAAATTTTCTCCTCTTGCACGAAATTCAATTTTAAACACACTCATGGCCAAATCGGAGTGAAAGAACCAGTCGATTGTCCCGAAAACGCCGCCAAAGCTCAGAGGCGCCGCTGCGGGGTGTTTCGAAAAATGCCTCTGATGAGGCCCTTCCCGATTCACGTTCGATGTAATTTTTCCACTGTTGTGACCACCGTTTCCTTCTCTACAGATTAACCGAAGCAAAACACCCAACCGCAACGTGAGCCAGAGGAGCCGCCGCACCGGAGAGCCCCACCGTTGGCAAGTTTCGGTTTTTTGCGTTCTTTCGGCCTACTGAGGGCCCTAAGTGTGTTTTCTCGCAGGAATCGGTGCAAGTTCGGCTAAAAACGGCTGAAAACAGCCAACCTGAGGCGGATCGCCGCCGCAGGCGGCGGCGACGTTGCGAGAGCATGGCAGAGCCGCTGTGTCGAAATTCCGAAATTAGCCGAGTAGGCCCTAGGTCTGATTTTTGGATTTATTTGAGATACTTGTAGGTACCGTAATCGCGTTTCAGTTCCCGAAAGAAATTTCAGGGAACCCGGGGATCGCTCGTAGGCGCAGTAAGCATCTAATTTTCGGCGCCGAATCAAGTAAGAACTCCTCACCCTATTTCCTATCATAGATGTGAAGTTTGAATAAATAATAATACTGTATTCTGTACAAATTAAATAGATATACATAATTAATTACGGTTGCTAATGGAGCCCGAGCCAGACATTATTTTCTATCGATTCCTGTTTGATTTATTTTACAGTTTAAATGCATTATGGTATCTGGTTTATCTATTCTGTGATTTTAAATGCATGTATCAGTGCTTACTTCACTATTGTTTGATTTTGGGAATTTAAGATATGATTGCATTGTTGGATACATGTTACTTGTTTATGTATTTATGTTTGATTTGGTGACGGAGATTAAGAACAAACAGGAATGAGATGTGATCTGATAAATGGATAAGGTGACAATCTCATTAGATATCCTGGGAGATGGTGGAAAGATTGGGTTCATAGGGAACCCTACCGTGAACATTGTCTCATACCGGACGGGGTATGGAGACTTGGTCATTTGGCGCTCATACCGAACTGGATATGGGGACGGCCTGCTTCACCCTCATACCGGACGGGATATTGAGATTTAATGTCTTGGTGCTCATATCGGACGGGGTATGGAGACGGCCCTGGAATTAAGATTGTTAAGGAAAATGGTTTACGTGTAACGATGACACCCCTGTGGATCCCCATGGATACTAGTAAGCTAGTGAAACGAGAAGTGGTAATGATCAATTATTGTTAATGAATACGAATTTATGATATGTTCTATGTTATTAATTATGCATGAAATTGTGATCCGTATGATATTATTGCTTTTATAAATTGTTTTCATAAATTCCACATTGATAAGTGAATTGTAAATGATTTTATTTATGATAAACGAATCTATTTGAATTTACTACTCTATTAGTTGTTTTGATTTTCTACCAACCTTTATTTTTGTGACAGCGATATAGTGTGATATTCTTACTGGGTTAGTATAACTCACTCCTTATTTAACCATTTCAGATCAGGAGGACCCGGTTCCCAAGCCCGATCCGCAAGAAAGTTACGAGTAGATGCTAGATACTTTATAGTTTCCTTTATTTTTTTTCTATTTTTCGTATTTCTTTCAGAGAATTTGTTCCGTAATATTTGTTAGTACTTTTGAATTATCGTGTAAGAAATGTTAACCTTAACCTTTATTTCGCTTCTGCACTCAAATTATTATATGCATTTCTTTTTAAATTTCTAGGGTCGTTACAGTTGGTATCAGAGCCGCGTTCCTCGGACCCGTCCCTTACACAATAATACTTAGAGAAACACCAAACAATAAATTATCACTCAACTATTCCTTGTGAAATGCAGGTACAGAGAAATGAGAAGAGGAAGACCCCCACTAAACCGAGCAGCCCGGGAGGGTTCGCTCAGGGAAGACGTGGAAAGGGTATTTGAGATATTAGAAAGACTCATTGCGGCCCAACAGGGCTGAGAGGAGAGGAGGGAGCTTCCTAACCCTCCCCCGCTGCCACAGGTTGAGCCACCACTACAGTGAGAGGATCCTGAGCCACCCTGGTATGGCCCTGCTCCTCCACAGTACCACCTGGTACCAGCACCACAGTATAATCCAGTGCCCCCGCCGTATCAACAAGGACCACCACAGGGCCCCTCAGCCTACCATCATCCTAACCCAGTCCCTTTTCCACGGGATCCAGTTCCTCCCACGATTGACCCGGATTACATAGAGAGGTACAAGAGACTAAACCCATCCACTTTTGCAGAGGGATCATCTTTTGAAGATGCTGAGTACTGGTTGGCAAAGACGGAGAAAGCCTTCAAGACTTTAGGGGTGACTTCTGAGTAGAAGGTCACCTTTACTACCTACATGCTAGTGGGAGAGGCAGACTGCTGGTAGGAACTCAAGCAGACCACCCTGTCCGTTCCAGTTACTTGGGAACAGTTCCTAACAGCCTTTCATGCAGAGTACCTCCCAGAGTATCTCCGACATCTGAAGAAGATTGAATTTGTCCACTTAGTCCAGAGGAACATGACTGTGTCAAAATATGCTCGTAAGTTCTTGGAGTTGGGCCGATACTCCCCTACGACATTGTTGGATGAGGGCAGGAAGGCTAGGAGATTCTAGTGGGGAGATTCTAGTGGGGCCTCCGCCCAGAAATCAGGCAGCATTTGTTCGTGCTGGAGTTCATGACCTATTCGGCCGTTCTGGCCAAGGCATAGCTGGTGGAGAGGAGCTTCCACACCCTCCCTCAGGCAGCAGGGAACCTCAGACCCTCAACTCCACCCCGCAGACCAGCACCTACTGTGTCTGTCCAACAGAACAAGAGGCCCAGACCGGTGATCCAGGCTCCCCCTCAGGGTCCAGTGGTAGAACGTG